TGGCATACGCTCGCTTGATGAATTTATCCCTCTGCTTTACAGCTGCTTTGGAATTTTTTTGGGATGAGATTCAATTTAGTGTAATAATTTATTTATTTATTTGGGCTTGAATGAAATTGGAGTGATTGAAAGGGTTGGAAGTGGATTTTTATATTGTATGGGAATTTTAAGGGATGAGCTGAATAAAGTGTGTTGTAAGCATGGAAAAATAACCTGCAGGAAAAAGTATTTATTTGAATTTTGAGGGAAAACACAAAGATTTGTTGTTATTTTATGTCACACTTAACTTGAGCCTGTCTAGACAGTTTCCTTGTAGTTTATAATGGGGAAATTTTATGTAATTTGATTTTATATTTACTATTTTAATAAGTGCAAATGAAATTTATAGATTAAGCGTGTTAAGTTAATAGATTGATATTAATTGGTCATATGTATATGGGGAGGGGACTTTAAAAATCATGTTTTTCACGGACGTCATAAGTAAACGACCTTTATCTAAGATTTCGTGTTTTACTACGTCAAAACCAATTCTAGAATTTTCTTGCCTTAAAACAAGCATGACAAGCTATTCTTAAATATAGAGTCAGTTTCTTGAGCTTTCTAAGGACATCCTTAGCTCAAACTTTAATTCGTTTTACTACAAATTTACAATTATTGATATGAATCACATCTCCATTAAAATATGTCCATTTTGGACAAGAAAATACTTCATTCTGGCAAGAACTCAAGACATACATCATCAAGAACACCCCAAATTTATAAATTCTTAGTCATTTCCAACTCGGTGATTTACGCTTTCCAAATTCAACATCCTGAAAACATTTAACATATAATTCTCAAGTGAATCACCATAAAGAAACCCAATAAAAGACGTTATGTAAGACAAGTAACGTTAATAATGGTTCCTACAATAATTGAAGAATTCCCATTGAATCACGGTGAATTTAAAAATACTAAACGGATTTTCTATTTAAAAATAAATAAATAAAATTGAATAATTGTAGATTGAGAATAAAACGAATAAGTACATGAGCTTAAAATAAATCCAAATGCACACACATTAAAGCAGCAAAATCAATAAAAAAGTCGAGAGAAAAAGAATTGAATCGCGAATGCAATTTGCACTCAAGTGTTTGAATCGGAAATTCCGTTTTGTAGTCTAGTGACTGCAACAGGTGTGTGGGATGAAATGAGACTAATTAAAAGCACTTATTCAGCTGGATAGCCTTGATGATCTTAATTTTGCGTAATAACTCGTTAACATTCTCACGAAATGTTTACAATGAGCTTGCATTTATTGAAGATAATAAATTTTGTGTAGCTTTGGAAAATTTGTAAATAAATTTGAATTTTAAATAAATTTCCATAGGTGAGGGAACTTGGAAAATCCAATAGAGGAAATGGATTTTTATTTTCAGAATTGTGAAGCTCTGTAAAAATTGAAGTTTTACAATCTTTAATTGCATATAATCTAGTCTTTTGTGATATTATATATTGATTCTAGAAAAAATATTTGAATGATCCAAAAGTAAGTTTATTGACATCTTAAATGAATAAATTCATCACAAAGTATTCCCGAGTTTGTTACACCGCCCTTGGTTGGAATCCGGAAGGGAAAAGACACCCTGGAGCTCCTAAAGCTACCTGGCACAGAACACTGATGAAAGAATGTCAGCTTAATGTGCGCACAGAGAAGTTGTACAAACTAGGTGACAGAGTTAGCAAAAGAGTCAGATGGAAAGCCTTTTGTTGTAACCTAAGTTCCACATAGGAACATGGTTACAGTAAGTAAGTAAGGAAGTATTCCCGAATGAAACATGATGTCAAGTAAATTACAAGACTTAAGGACGACTAATGATAATTTTTAAGGAACGTTCCTAAGTATTCTACTCGAGATTGGACTATCAAGGAATATTCATTTTGGATTGATCCAAGAAAAAAAACACTTCCAGCACTTCCAGATATGGAGCATACTACGAATCACAGTAGAAATATAATAATCCCAACTATATTATGAATAGCTAAGGAATTTATACAAAGAAAGTAAAAACTTTGACCTACATTTTTAGGTTATCCTCCTTTTTAGCATTACATAGCATTCGATTGACCCTTAAAAGTGCAAAAATTATTAATAAACCTCCTCGAACAGAATACCTAAATTTGTAAAATTTACTCCTCCCTAAATTGTTATTCAAAGACCCCTAAATGCATCTCTTCCCATTCGATTTCTATTAAAATTAATGTGCAGTCATAAATCACACTTCAAACCATAATGTTTTAATTAACACATTCATTCCATTTCTCCATCTTTTGCATAGCAACAATAATAATAGTAATGATGAAGTAGAGCATCAAAAAGTACAAAACAAAGAGATAATTGGAAGTGAAAGCAAATCAATTTGTGATCACATTGAGGGATAGTTTTTGTACCCTCTTTGTCGATGGATTTATGGAGTGACAAAAAGGGAAAGCAAATAAATTGTTGACACCTTTAACACGTGTAATTTTTTTTTAGATAAAAGCCAGAAGATTCTGCAAGCTGATGAAATAAAATATTTTATTTTTGTGCTCTGTCAAGAGACACAAAGCAGAACAAAAAGAAATTATCGCCATGTCACTGCCAGTTGGTACAATGCAAAAAAAATAAATATGAAAATAAATCTCACAGATAAGAAAATAAGGAAAAGAAAGGAGGACAATGCACATTGAAGAGATGTAAAGTTATTTACTTAAAAGATTAATACCCACTTGTAATTAAAGCATCTTTTTTTTCGACAACAACAGAAAGTGAAAAAAATGGAAGAGATGGAATTTAAGAATTATTATTCTTATGGATTACACATCAGATTATTCCTCATAATGACTTACACTTTACAGTTCTTACTTCTTTCTACATCTTTTCGAGTTTGAGCCATTCAGAAATATTTAAGAATAACAAAAATTTGGTTCCTTTTGTAAAGCACCGGCTATTTACAGATGGATACTTTATTTTATTAAATGTGATGTGGCATTAATCAGCGCCACCCATTTATAAATACAATTTTTTGCACTTATTTTCTTTCATTTCTTCTCTATTCTGTCATAATAGAAGAGAGAGAAACTTGAGACTCAGAATGAAGTCTTTCATGTTGTTATAAACACATGTCAGAACGCATTTTGCCACCTTGTTGGTTGATAATAGAGGTATTAATGATGAATATTCAGGTTTCGGAACGTGAAGGTGCTGAGTTTTAATTTTTTAAAATGAATTTCAAACCAAGGTTTTGCCGATTAATCAATATCATTTTTGCAGGTATTATAGTAAGAATATATGTGCAGTGCCTAGTGTCCAAGACCTAAAACTTATAGTGTTTTGTAACATGGAAAAATTTTATTGCGTTTTAAAATCTATGATGGCAATGTCGCAGTAATTAAATATTGAAACTCGAAACCCAAACGCCATCAAGTGACTTAAGCTGGCTGTAATGTCATAATTCTACTAGCGACGTCGAAAACCTTTAATAATAATCTTGCTAAATCTACGACTTCATAAAATAAAGTTTTTAAGGATTTTATCTTGCTGAACTACTTGTCTGTACTTTGTTCAATTTTTAATAAACCTAGGTTTGGATTACTCTATGGCAGAAATTAATTTTGATGTTGGAGCACATGGGATATAAAAAAAAATAATTTAGGACACGAGTGGGGTGCCATGGGTAACCCATAAAAATCAGGCCTAGATACTTCCATTAGACATGGCTGCAACATCACAGATTACAAGAAAAAATTAAAATATTTGTGATAAATCCAAACATTGCTTATACAAATTACAGAGTCAAGATAAATATATTCAAAATGTGTCACGACATTAAGAATCCCTAACCACATGTGCTCTTGTTTAATATTCATCTTTTTTTGATGGACAGATAAATTAAATAAATCCCATCCATTCACTCTGCATTCTCTCATTCTTCTCCACCTCTTCGTCTCCTCAATCATTATTAAATATCAAGACAGTGGTATCGACATGAGTGAGATCTCACTGGAGGTGCTTCAGCGCTATGCTACATTCAAGTGTTATTCAAGAACGTTGTTTTTGGCTTCTTGTGCCGCCACCTTGAAATATAAAAATAATTTTGTGGAGTTATTGATGGACTCCCTGCTGATTTTTCATCTCCTTTAATATTTACTCGAATTTCTCGTTGAAGACATTGTCGAATTTAATTTCGTTACATGATAAGTCTGTGACAATTTTTCATCCACGGTGAGACTTCTTTGTTAATTAAAGAGATTGTTTGTATATTGATAAATTTTTTTCTGAGTCAATGAGAATGAAAATAAATTTGTGAGAATGACGAAAAAGAGACACAAACACATGCATAGGTTGAGGAGCTTTCAGAGAGTGAGAGGATGGATCATAACAAGACTGACTCTCTTTTTCTTCAATTGCAAAAGCTTTAATTTACAAATACTAATGTAAATGCTGTAACTGTAAAGGTGAAAGGAAGAGATGATCACCATGAATTGCATTTTAAAATAAAACATTTATTTCTATTCATTTTTGGATTAGTTTTTGACATCTATAGTAATTTCATCATATGATTTTAAAATTTCTTTTTGGGGCACATGTTGTTTGGGAATTTAAGTTAAATTTTTCAGATATCTATAAATGCATTTTAAAATTTATTTTAAGTTTTTAAAATTTATTTTAAATTTTTCTATGAAAATTTAAAGGTTTTTAAATTAATATCTCAATGTTTTAAAATTTTGAAAATTTTAAGTTTTGCTTCAAATTACATGAATTAAGCAAATTATTAAGTTCTAATATTTTTAAATTTTGATATTTTTTAAAACTCAACATTTTGATTTTTTTAAACTTTTCTAAACTCTGCTTCTTAATATTTCAATCTACAAACTGCAAAAAATATAACAAATATTTTTTTTAATATTTTAAATAATTCTAAAATCTGAAAAATTCAAATTAAATTCTCTAAACTACATTAACCACTCAATACAATTTAATTTCCAATAAATAATTTAATTTTATGTATTTTATTTTAAATTGTACACAATCATATTTTAAATATTTCTAACAGCTCTCATAATTTTTTGTCGTTTTTACACAAGTTATAGGAATTTTAAATTCTCATTTTAAAGGCAAAGAATTTTTTTCATGTCAATTCTTAAAAAAATTCTGTCAGATTTTTTTAAAATTTGAATTTAATTTAAATTAGAATTATGAACAAAAACTTTAAAATTTTAAAATTAATTTGTTGAAATTTAAGGAATAATTTTTAAAATCATATTTTGAGCGGGGCTAGGCATTCAAAATTATGAAGTTTTTCAGTTATTCGAATTTGAAAATTTTTCTAATTTTAAATTAGTTTCCAGCACTTAAAATTAGCAGTTTTTGTCCACATTTTTCAATAATAAATAAAATCTGACAAAATTCTTCCAAGATAATATCATAAAATAATTTATTAATATAATGGCAATAACTATGTTGGATATCATATCAATTATATTTTTTTTTTGATTTCTAATTGAACATGCGTTGGGATTTTTTTTGTATCTTGTCATACAACAATTTTTTAATAAGTTTTGATTAATAAATTAATTTGTGTTTTTAACATTTACATTTTTTCATTACATTTAAGGTGCATTTCCTTATATATACAATGGATTATAAAGGATATAATAGTATTTTTAATTTGAGATAGCAATTTTGTTGAGAGGAATTGAGGAAAGACTTTAGATTAAACTTGAGGATAATTTTGATTTTTGACATTTTTGAATATGATTTTTAATTTACTTTAACATTGTCTCATTTAAACTTTCTCAAAATTCATTTTTTCATTAAAGTGTTCGATTCAAATTTTTCAATTTCAATATCCATTAAAATCTTCCACATCAATCCACACGAGTCTTCAACTCCATAATCTTATAATACAATAAATAGACATAAGCGTAGCAATAAGAGAGAAAATTGTGATGCAAATAATTTTTAAGAATCCTACTTAAAATATTAGAAAAAAAATGATAATAATCACTGGTATTCAGCCGGTTGAAAAATTCAATTTGTGCATGATATGCTGAATATATTTGGGATGCTATCATGCATTTAACCAAGCAAGTCTATCAAGAAGCGACATTTTACATCGATTGATAAAATTTTTAATTTGCGTTGTTGTATTTTTTAATAATCAAACCCAAAAGTTCATTTGAATATTCCATCAAATTTTGATATTCACGATAAATGAGCCAATGATTAATTTTAATCAAATCGTCCAATTTGAATGGCGTTATGTCCAAATCAGTTGACGGATCGATATCAACGTCCAAAAAGAGTTCTTGAATGTTGCATAAGACTGTCTTGATTCCTTCCGTGACATTTTGGAATAAAATTTCGCTTTTCTTTAATTCATCTTCTTTTAACATTCCATCTGTTGTTCTTGCCATTTCAATCCATTTGTTGACAATTTGGACACCGACGTAAATTCTTTCTAGTCGTTGATAGATTTTACCGAGATATTCAAATACCTAAAATTAGAAAATTCAAATTGTTTCATTAAAAATTTGATTAGGAATTCTTTTAAAAAGAATTTCAGATTGGATAATCAATCCAAAGTTGCGAGACCTTGTCAACAAATTGCAGATGACAGATCGCAACTCTGAGTCAATCTTATGAGCGACATGACATATATAAACAACACCTACCTTCTTATGATCTTTCCATTGAACAGCCTCAAGTTCACTTCTATGATCACTTGGAATATTTTCAGAATACTGTTTCTTGAGTGGCATACCTTCTGGATGAATCCATTGTGGAACTTTGTGGTGCTTCCATGCTTCATGATGTTCATGGATTGTCGTGTTCCACATTACTTTGATCTGAAATGGAGAAAGATTGAAGATAATGTCAGTAAAATTGGAAAATTTCAGAAGATTGAATTTTTTGAGTAATTCATCAAAATTGATTGAGAATTTTGTGTTTCAGAGAAGACGCTTGTGTGGTTGAATCATTCAACAGTAAAGTAAGGAACCAAAATTAAATAATGGTTGCAATTCAAATGTATCTAATTTGAAATTTTCTCATATTGCTTAGTATTCTTATAGGATATAAAATTTTCAACTTAGAAAAGATTTTGCTGCTTATAAGAAATTTTTGTGATTTACTTAGCTTGATTCTTATTAGATTAAAGTTTCAAATGTGATTCTTATAAACAATGTGCTTTTAAAGTTGAACATAAAGTGCTATAGGGTGCTATTGAAGTCCCACAAGGTGCTTTGGGTGGTTTTTACAACAAAATAATTATTGCAATGAGTTGTGTACTTAAATGTAAGTTTTAAGCTTCTAAATGCTTTATAAAACAAAAATATTTAAGAAAAACCAATTTTCAAAATAAAATCGTCGCATTAGTTCAAAAATAAATTAAGCAAAAATAAAAATCCACCACAAAAGTTAAAAGGCAAGAAAAAGGAACAGAACCAAATAATGCACACAACAATGCATCGATGAAAATGTCGTTTTCATTTCATTGAAGAACCTTCTACTTCTCCGCAATTTTTTTATTTTATTTCTTTCACTTCATAAGTTAGCCTACAAATTAAGCATAAATAAGTGAATGAATAAAAAAAAAAGACCTAACACGTCTGCTTGGCTTCCGAAAGGAAGTTCTTTGAATGTGCAAAATATTTGACACCGATAAAAAGTGTTGATATTGTTTATCAAAATAGTGAAATGATTCTTTGCGTTTCATTCATTCATTCTCTTCTATATTTAGTCGTATAAGGCACATACGTATTTCTTCTGCTTGCCGTTTAGCTTCTTTACACTCATCAATGGCAATTAAACCATGAATTCAACATTCTTACTAGTCGGACTTGTGTGAATGTGAATAAAGAATGAAGAAGAAGAAGAAGTTATAAATGACATATGATAAGTGCAATTATGAGAAGTTAATTTGTCACCATTATGAGGCCTCGCAAAACACTTGTCAAGTTGTGTGCATTCTTTTATTGCACCTTTTTAATGCTGCGCGTTGTGCCGCATACTTTTTCTTATTATTATTTCTTCTCTTCTTCTCGTTTTGTTGTTATTTCATCCGACATTGATTCTTGTGCGTGTCGGAACATCCTGTCCGATCAGAGGCGGTCAATAAGAATCTCATCAACAACGCGAACATTTAACAATAAAGCACATTGATCGATGACAAAAAAAATAAATAAATTAAAATTCGAATGAAGTGACAAATTAATTTATTTATTGGCATAAAGACAGACATACGTACTGAAGATTTTTCATTTTTGATATGATTCAGTCAATCAATACATGTCTTGTTGATAGTTAAGGTAGATATTTAATGGACAATGTAATGTTCTGTTATCGTTTTGGGTGACTGCCGTTATGGACAAGAATTGATGGTTAATCGTTCTTTTGTGATTCTAAATGGATTCTAATGTTTGGGTGATTTTTTAATTTGATGTCGTTACGAGAGTTTATTAACCTTAAATTTTTGGCTTGAGTTAAGCTTAAGTACGACGGTTTAGACAGCTTTTGGCAACACATAAGTGAGACTATGGATTTGTATGGACCAATTGCTAAGTCACGCATGTCAGGAATTCATTCAGATCATAAAAGGATGCACAAAAGGAATGACTATCCTTCAGCTCGATATAAAATTTCTATAATTACCTTTTCAAAACAATTAAAATTGTCCGAACATTTCCTTTTCCAAGTCGTTTTTTTATGATCTGCACTCATTTCATAAAAGAGTCTTTCCTGAAATGATAAAACCTTGACTTGAAATTTCTGAAGTTTTGGCTAATTAACTTTAGCATGCAGAATTGTCTTTAGCGAGAATTTTTTTACAGCGTTGGATATGAGAAATGAGTTGAATTTACATTTGATGAGTTTTAATGAAATATTTTTGGAACTCAATTTGAGGTATTTATATTGATTATATTGTTCAAGCTTTAATATTTGTAAGCAAATGTTATAATTTTGCCTATTTAAGCTTTCAAGAGTAAAATGTTCTTAGTTTACAAGCATATAGGACCAATAAATATTGAATATAATTCATGCAAGCTATATAAATAATTGATGAGTAGTTAACGGTAGTTTTTTGACAGTTTCTTATAGGTAGAGTCTGTGGCATAGTCAGAACTTTGGGAAGAGGTCAATTTTCAACCAATCAACCCTTCCTCCCTTGATTAAGCTCCTAGATAAAATTCAATATATTTTAAGACCCCCACAAAAAATGCACTGTGAACCTCTTGAACCCCCGAAAAAATTCCCAACTTACTCAATAAAAAAAAATTACGACAGAACTCACAGTTAAGTGTATAGAAGAGGAAAAGTAATAAAAAGCAATAAAAATGGACTTAAGAATGGAATCAAAAACAGAAGGAAAGAAAAATTTACATAATTTTCAAATCATTAATTAATTCATAGCGTCATGTGTGCCATTCTTGAACATTATCATTAATTTTGATGATGTTTTGTTGCGACAATGATGTCTTTTTTTAATTTGCACAGTTCTCAAAGTAAGTGAGAATTATGCGATTATTGTCCTAAGGCCAAAAAGTGCTGAGTAATCATTACAAAAATCTTTGCCTAACAGCAAATATATAAAAATTTCATAATTTATTTGTTTTATATCCGGTTATTAGCGTCTCGCTATCCCTTTCACACCCATGAAGTCCCATCTGACAATGTTGTTATTGCTTCTTTGGAATATAAGCAGAGTTTGTATTTGTTTCCGTTTTGTATCGCTGTCAATCGCACTGACTCGAAAAGGAAAAGCATTTTTATTTGTGAGGCAAAAGAAAAAGAGTTGAGAAGAACGGCAAATAAGTGGCATTTCATTATAACTTTTTTTTTGTCGCAAGTTCATGCACGCGAGATATTATTTTGCATAGAAAAATAGCCAATTTAGATTTTTTAGCCACCGACATTCCTTCTTGTTTGTTTACCTTCAACAAGGAACTGCAACATTCGATTGAACTTTGCAATTAATCATTAACTGTTGACGTCGTGACCTGAATTTTATTTTTTTGAATGTCGCATGGCGCGATGCAGAGAAAAAACTGTAAGAAATCGGAGCATGTTCAGCTAAATTGGTTTGTTTGTCAAAGACGAACGAGTCAAAAAAGAGAGCAAAAAGAGAGTGAAACCGAAAATGATGTAATGATATGACTAATGAGTGCAATTCAATGGACAGGTGTTGAAATGTATTTTTTTTTTGCTACTCGATCAGTGTAAACTGTAAACATGAAGGATGTTGGTGGGTTCTGGTATGGATGGCGATGGAGGTTTTGAGCGCATTTGCTGCAATTTTTGATTGTTTCATTTGAATTTTGAGGAACTGCTCTTGAATTTCTCAAGTGTTGTTTACCACTTAATGCTCTTATTAATCTGCAATATTCTACAAAATTCACAAACAAATCTCAAATGACCTGCTTTAAACTCGCAAAATATCACTTAATTAAGTGTCTCAAGTGGATTTCTTAAGAACAGTTTATAAGTTCATTGTCTCGGGAATTTCGAGGGATTTTCCCTGTCTTGAAATCATTTCTTATACCAGACAAGTCAGACCAAAAAGCCCACAAATTTGTTTTCAGTTTTCTTGCTCCAAATTGTTCTTAATTGCAGTATTTAATGTTTAAATAGCAGTCACTTAGCACTTGTATGATTTTATAAGTCTATAATTTATCATTGAAATTATCGCTATGAGATTTAATGTGCATACATAAACAACATTTAAAGAATTGATCAGCGGGGAGAAGAAAAAAATTATCTTTGGCGACGGAAAGTCTCGCGAATTTGATTTTATTGAAGGAAAAAAAATGTGTGCATTAATATTTTTATTTTGTGAATGTGTTGCAAGTTTATAGAAAATTTCCATGTATGTTACACACAAACAATTGTTAATAATATGGATAGACATAACGTAACGTGATAAGTCTAACGTTCTACTGAAGAACGTGTGCATTTTCTTTAAAGTGACAAATGGTTTATTTTATTTTGTAAAGATTTATAAAGTGGAATTAAAGCTGATTGGCACTCAAAAATGAGCAGCTTTAAAGGATTATTTTTTGTGATTAAAAATTGTCATTTAATCTAATTTAACCCATTTTTTTTTAAAAAATTTATAGTCATACAGGATGCATGATTTATGAATTTGCTATCACTATCGGCACGGTCTGAATTGTTTATTTTCAAATGTCTACTCATATGTCATTAGACTAATATTCAAATTTAAATGAATACGATCCAAACTTTTTAATGATTCATCCTCTGAAAATTCTTCCAGCATTTGGAGTTCCATTTTAATTTTAAGACCTTGAGTTCTCAATTAAACTCGCTATTTTGTTCCAAAAAAACGTGTCCAAAAATCCAAAACTTTAATTTTAACGCAAAACTTCACAATTTCATCTCGATTCACGATTGGTGGATGCTTTAAAATCAGCAATATTACAAAGACCGCCTTTGAGGTTGATAATCACATAAAATTTAAAACAGAAACTGATGCTGACTTCAGTTGATATAAAATTTAATTTTTATCGAATCTCGTCGTTTTTAAGAGACTTGATTGTCGATTTAGATATGTGGTGTTAAAACAGAGTAGATTTTAAGGTATCGAGTCACATAAAGGAGAATCTGGTAGTGAGAGATTAAGGACTCTGTTGCTGAGTAATCAACAGCAGACGGAACATCTTTGTTTGATTCCAAATAGAGTCTGATCTTTCAATTATTCGATAAATTGCTGTCGGTATGACAAGGATTCGCATTGAGCTCATGACTTTACAAGATTTTTAACATTTTTGCTACTTCAAAAGATATCTTAAACAGAAGGACAAGCGGTTTTATTTATAATTTCTTTAAATACTTTTTGCAGCATAACTAATCTCCCATGTTATCTTTTAAAGACACAAAATCGCATACAATTTGATATCCAGCAGGTTTTTTTGTTGATTTATCTGATAAGCATATAATTACAGCATAGCAAATTTAAGCTTTCTTAGAACTTGATTATCAATGTGGCTTTATAAATAAGACCTTTAAGTGCGACTAAGTTATAAAGATAATTTTTATCATAACCCAAATGAGTTCACGTGTAGACGCAAAATCAAATTTCATTCTGAATGACGAACATCGTCTATTCGTTGGACATTAAGTAACGATTCTTTAACAAAAAATCTCTGAACGAAAAACCAGTCCACGTGACATCATCTTGGAAAGACAAAACCCGAAACATTTCTTCTTTGTTTAATCGCCACGAAAAGTTTAATATTTATAAAATAAGTCAAGTTTAGGTAAAGCAACAATAATAAATAAAATAATTTCAGCATGTGTCAGGAGAATCTAAGCAAATATTTACAAAATAAATAAGTTTGAGGTACTATAACTGTATATAAACTACCGTAGTGTGGTGCATAGATCATGATACAAGGCAAAATAAATTTTGCCAACATTTGTACAATTTTGATGATTTGTCATTTTTATGATAATCAAGATATATAGATGAGCTCATACAGAGTATACTTGACCATACTCGACCATACTATTTTTTGTGTACTTATACAAACAAAAATTTTTAAAATTTTCTATTTTCAAGTTTTCATTTAAATATCGACAGATGCAACAACATTTGTCTTAAGTCAGTTTCTTTAAATTATAGCAAAGCATTTGCAATACTCCTGTATCAACAAAACTTAACAGAAAGTTGAAAATTTTGCAAAACAAAAATTGAAAATTTTCTTTTATAGTGTTAGTGTTTTTAGAAAATTCAAATTTTTGACGTTTAAAAACTGCGATATTTTTGTATGAGCACATCTATATATCTTGATGATAATTTAAAGAAAATAATAAATTCTTTTTTGTACTTACATATTCTGAGCTTAATGCCTTTGTTTGAACCAATGCATCTTCGCATGAGAGCAAAATTGATTTCAGTCTGTCTTCCAGAATACGATCATTCATTTTTGTACTTCTATCACCGAGATCCGATCCACACTTATGATTAAAAATCTTTCCACCTTCAAATACTTTCTTTTGATGGATCGGGCTAGCCTCACTTTGGATTATTGATAATATAAAATAAATACTTAGTACTACTGTTAAGTAATTTGAAAGTCCTGAAATTAAAGAAAACAAAAAATTGATTGTTAGTTGATATGACAAGATTAAAGTTGATCAAATGTTTTTTATCTTTAAACTGAGTTAATATGTAGCTAGTCAGTTTATCAGATAAACGAAGGTCAATGGTAAAATTCTATTTTTAAGATTTTAAAACATAGTATTGGAAGTAAGCCGCAGTTTATGAAGCCATGACAATTTTTTTTTAAATTTTCAGAAATTATATATTTTGTTTCCCTAGCATAAATTAGAATAAAAATTAAACAATTATGTTTAACACTTTAATCCAACAAAAAGCAAATATTGGAGCATCTTTGTTTTGAATTCGGTGCCTGCTGATATATTTATTGTACAAGATTTTTGTCATTTTTGTATGAAAAAGTTCAGGTTGTTGAAAAAATACGCAACTTTATCTGCTTTACTCAAGACGCCCTCCCCCCGTCCCTTCCCCTAAGCAATTAAAAAATTTAATAAACCAAAATTTGATATCAAAATATCAAAAAAAATTAATTAAAAAATAAGCAAGAGATTTCCTAATCCTTATGAAAATTAAATTAAACTAAGTCTGAAAGATTTTACGGAAAATATTATCATTATCAAAAATACTTTAGAATTAAGACTTCATTAAGATCTCATTGACGCGTAAACATGAGCTTGCAAAAAAAATTATTTTAGCACCTTTTAAAACGTGTGTTCTGATTAAAATTTTTGTCAAAAATACTTTCGTTTATCAAATGTCAGGGATTAAGTGTATTTACTTTCATTAGATTCATTGCTGTGGAAACTTAAACTGGAAAATTTCATACTACATCACCATATCCATGGCCAGCCGACGCACTAATCTCCATTGCGACCCAAATAATAATTTTAGAATCACAATCAACTGTTACATTAATTAGTGACATATCAGGCAAAAAAGTCAATTCTAATTATATTGTGCCTACATAATGCTGCATAGCTTGAACCAGGACAACATATTTGATATTTATAGATATGCTCGGTTGTCACGTATGCTTATAATGATGAAACTATAAAATCATAATTATTATGACGATAATGATAACGATATTATGAGAGATTGTCGCCATAGAGATGACAATAAAAGTGTTTTCAGTTGAATTGTAAAAAATTCTTAACATATGAAATCACATAATGATAAAATGTCACGAATTATAATTGAAATGCCATTGAATATGACATTTAATGCCTGATTTTGATCTTGTTAATGAAATTGCAATTATTATAAAACATTTAAACTTTTCAGAGGGATTATAAAGACATGAAAATGCAAGCAACAAATTGAAGGAAAGTCCTCGTCAGGTAAAAAATTAAAGTTTGACTCAAAACGCCCACAATCCTTAAGAAGCCTCAAAAGTCAGTTAAAATTCATTAACAAAAAATTATTTCTCTCATCTTCTTATTCACAAAAGTCACCTCAAAAAAGATGCAAGATTCGTTAATGAAATTTTCTTTTTTTGTGGGTGGGAGGAGCAGACTTTAGAGTCAACAAATTTCAGGTAACATTAAAATTCTAAGAATTTAGATTTCTCTATTATGTATTTGACTTTGTGACGTAAAATTGTTTATTAATGAAATTAAAATGTTTTAATAATTTTAATAAATACAGGAAATTTTAATTTGTTGCAAATGCAATGAAATTTTGTGTAAATATTTTGGCTAATGGGTGTTTGGTTGCTTGCAGTTCCGGTGGTCTGTAGATTGTGGGATTTAATTTTGATTTTGTTTGGGGTTTTGTGTGTGTTTTTCGGCGATATTTTAGTGTAAATGTTTAGTCTTATTTGATATTTTATTTAAATTTCACCATTTTTGATTTGAATGTTTTAAGTTTTTTTAAGCTCGTGAAATTATTATTTGAGTATTTTAAATATTAAGTATTAACATATTGGTTTGAAAAAGAATTTAAAAGTAACTGAACTATAACAAAATTTAGAACATTATATTTAACTTATTTTATTCAATTTTAAAAGAAATTATGATCGGTGTTTCAGCTGGATTTCTTAATTATCCAAGTTTTTTCAGTCAGAATGAATTTAAAAAACCAAAAAAACAGCTAAATTGATAAAATTTAAATCAAATTGTTTGATGCTTGAGCTTTTAAAACATTTCAATTTTAAATATTGATTAGACGAATCAAAACTTGTAGAAATTTTAAAAAATCCTCAAAGAAATAAGAAATTTTAAAAATTTGAATTTGATAAATTATAATATTCAATCTATAAATTCAATTCAAATAATGTTGTAAAATTAAGAAAAATTTTAATAATTTTTTCGCGTTCCTTAAGTTTTTTATAAACTTAGAAAAATCTTAAAACATGTTAAAATGTAAAAATTAACGACGGCTTTTCAACTTCAACATTCCTTTTGAAATTTGTATCAAAAATTTGCAAAACAAAAGGAAAAAATCTCACAAAAGACCCCCCAAAAAATCAACAAATCTTCCCACAAAGTGAAAAAAAAAGTTCGACGATCTTTAACATTGAAAATTACATCCTACTAATTACAATGTAGCACAATCTTATGCGATTCATAAATATTTACAAATGTAATTTAATATTTATTTATAGTAACATTCTTCACGAATTCTTAACATTATTAAAAAAGATATTTGAAAGAGAAAACTTCCCCCGTTTCTACAAAACCAATAGACTAAAAGAACCAATTTAAAGACTATATGAATCATCGACGTGTTGCTGAAGAAAAAAAATCAATGCCATAAGAGAGAGAAAAAAAAAAGGTTTGTTCGCAAGGTGTATTTTCCATTTTTTGAGCGGCGATCGTCAAGCGATTCGTCATCAATTTTATTTTCTTAGAAAAAATCGCGTGCGACCAGCGCCAAATAATATCTTCTTACAATTTTATCAACTGCTTGCGTACAGCTTCCGTAAATTCTCATCGTGAAATACATTGTGAAATATGCGGTCGCGATAAGAGTGTCTGAATATTTTTAATTATCGCATATTAAATTACATTGTGTCACATTATTGCATCAAAAATTAAGCAGTATCTTCTTATCAATCTTATCCTTACTTACTTTTCGAACAGTTTCTATGGATTTGTACACTCCGTAGTGTCGATCGTTTTGTGCATTTAATTTGATTCTTATCACAATTTTCCTCAATCTCATTAAACTCTAAATTCGATGATTGTGTCTTGACTTTAAGCAGTGATACTGCCGTTCTTGAGTCACGATTAATAATCTCCATCATATTGGTATCCATTATTTATGCAAATAGTCTTTTACACTTAAGTTAATTAATTTTTTTTAAGTTAATATCACACACAAACTTTTAAGTCCTCTTAAAAAGTCTTATTATTTTTTTTTGCAAATTCTTTTCAATTTTTTTTGCAATATTTTTTTTTCTTACAAAAATTATTAATTATTAATTTTAAAAATCACAAAAAGAATTTTTCATTCACAATTAATTTAATAAATTACATTACTCCACACAGAATATTTATTATACTACTTATGTCTTGATCGTTTGATGATTTGAATGTGACTGACGAAAAAGTGTTATCTGTTTGCCTTTTTTAAAAACTACAAACGTCGTCGTCGTAGTCTTACTTAGGGTAGGAAAAAAAATATATATCCGCACATTCGAATGCTCAAGCCTTTATATATATGTACACGAGTATTGTAAGTACAACTATTTGATGCCTTTTTATTTTCAACTGACTTCCAATATGATTTTTCTTTGACTTCTCTCTCTTTGGCTTGCGATATTTATTTATAATAACATCATAATAATCCCACTGAAGCCATATATACTCTAAAATAAGTGAGAGACACACATTTTTTGCGCAGATATTCTCTTCTTTTCACACTGCTTGTAATCAATGTACTTGACGTTTAAATGCTGTTAATGGTGTTGTTGTTGTAAGCATCGCATTTCTCTGTCTGTTTTCATGATTTCGTGATGTATTATGGTGTATTTATTTTTTCTAACCAGTCGATATGCTAGCTTTTGTCTCTTTTATGAATGACGTCGATCCAAATGTCCAGTTTTCGAGAGATTCTTTTAATTATTAATTTTTTTATCGCTGCTATCCGTTCTCTCATGGAAACTCTCTTTACATTTTACATGTCTATACACACATGTGTCATTTATGCGATTAGCAAATCACATCGTGTTCATTATGCGAGTTCATTCAATTATCTATTTTATTATCTTATTAATAATCGTCGCATCTTCGGGACACAAACACACGTGCACCGTTTCTCTTTCTCTTTTTTTCAACACTTTTTGTCTTTGGCAACAAGAGAGATTATTAGGTATCAATATGAGAAATGATAGGTAGAAAAATATTATTGAAATGTGGGAAATTTGATTCACAAATACATTAATCAATGAAATTGCAGTTTTTCTCTCTTCATTCCTTTCACTTTTGTCTGGTTTAGTATCCTTTATTGTCTAGTATCCTTTATTAATGAATGGATTATGGAAATCGTGTAGGTAACAAAATTGATTCAAGAAATATAGTGAAAATATTGACAATTTTTGAAACAGTTGAAAGGAAAATATTTTGATTATAATTTTTAATTTATTCTTTTATTGATAATCGAGAACTTTCGTTTTTTAGTGAGTTTATATAAGATAACGACTTAATACAGCAGAAGACTTTCTTCTGATAACTTGTTTCATGACCAACAATTACAATTCGTTATGAAATTCATCTCTGAATATTTTTTAAGTTAAAGAACTTAACACGAAGATTATAAACACAAACCAAACTTCTTTTAAAGTGCTTCATTTATGTCAAAAATGAGTTGATAATTTTTTTTATATGTTTTTAAATAAAATTCTATTTTATAGTTTGATGAGGATTTAGCTTTATTGCTTATTTGGCGCCTGGCTAATGTGGGGGTTGCACCTACGCCCTTATAAAAGAAATCATCTTTGTATAATTTTTGACTTGTAATATCTGATCGGGTGTAGTACGACTCCCCCAAAAGTATCTGCCCAAGTCATAAATGCCTCATTATAGTTGCCCCACAATCACCTGCCCCAATGTATTAAATGCCCCAAATTATTAATTGCCCCAAATACAATTTCTCATGGAACAACTTTCCCATCTTGCACAATAAGCCACATCCTCATAAAAATATTTTAAGTAGCGTTAATCATAAATTTTCGAAACGCATACCCTTTTTAAAAATCAGTCAAGGTTTATAAAAAGACAAAAATTCAAAATTTCCTAATTCACCTCATAAATTTCTAATTCAGAGTTCAATTACCATCTCTCAGCCTTTATCATTCAATGTATCCGTGACTTTTTTGCAAAAACAAAATTACATTATTGTTAAAGCATGTGATTTCTATTAGTGCATACTTGGTAATTTATTTTCTAGGCGACTATAAAATTTGATTTTATAAATATTAAGCAATCAAATCAAAAAATATTTTATTGAATGATTTGACAGATTTTAATACTTTCTGTTATTTACCGTTGTTTATATTAGATTTGTTGACGGTAAGAGATCTCGTAAACTTCTTAAGAACTCATACAGAGAGGATGCCGAAAGAGACTTGGACAGGTCTAGGTTATGTCTTGAGGAACCCACGGATCACAATTGGTCCAGAAAGCGCCCTGAAAGCACCCTTTCATTCAAAATTTGGTGCCCCCTAAAATATGATTGAGATTTTTGTAAATTTTCAGCGACACTTTGAAAAAATTGGCCTTTTTAACAACATTGTGTCAATATATAAAAAAAATTAAAATCTTAAATTATTTTAGTAGCTTTTTTAATATAATTTAAAAAAAAATGAATTTATATCCAAAAAGATAAGTAAAAAATAAATAAATACGTGCAATGTAAAACATCCACTGTGAAGTGAAAGAGTAATAATCATCTTCATAAGCGTGTGGTTTGTTCGTTTAATTTGTTTATTAGTGTTATTACATGTAGTAAGTTGGGACGTAAACTTGTAATATAAAAATCGTTTAATGACGAGATTATATGCATATCATTGGCCTTATTTCCTAAGAATTTCTGACTGTTTCGCATGAATTTTGACGTCATAATGAAATGCCCCAAGTGCAACTCAAGACATGATTTTTTTTCAAGAGAATTAAACAAGGAGAGACATAAAAAAATCTTGACAGCAATTTGCAATACTTGAAAAATTCAATTTCAGTTGACATGAACTAAAAAGTTGCTAATAAGATTGCGTATTGTTACAACCCAAAATATGATATTTATTGAGTCATTAATTTGATGCTCAATTTTTAAACAATATTTCCCGCTCTAGCAATTAAAACTAGATGGATTATATTTTTTAATGTCATAAATTTGAAAATTGCTCACAAAAATTTTCGGATAATTTATTGTATTATAAAGGATGTATACTCAATCAAAATGAATCACAGTGATAAAACATCCTAATTATCTTATCCATTCATATATAACAAGATTTTTCAAAATCATCAAAAACTGTCTTTTGTAGACTCATTCTTATTCATTCTCTAACATTTGATGAAATGTTTTATTTCCTGTTTCATGCATGTAAAACATTCGAAGAATCGAACGAGTGATAAAGACAGAAACTCATTTAAGATTGTTTAAATTGGAAATAGAAGTTTTTTCATTGGCTTAGACCTTCTTCAATCAGTTGGATAGATACAATGGAGTCCACTGATCAAAATGTGAAATATCAGTTCCACACCCTTGCTTGAGTGTGATGTATGAACGACTTTTGTAACGACAATCTATTATAGTCAGGTTTTTATAGTTTAGTTCTTCTAGATATTTTTAACCACATTTTCATTTATTCCGAGCATGTTGAAAATACTTAAATTCATTATTAAATTTTATTTAAAAGGCTAGTTTTTAAACTTTAAAAAAAAATCATGCAATTAACATTTGACTAGACTGTCTATCGGTTTTTGTCGATTTAAGGAAAGGGATTTTAGTCAGGATTTTGTTCAAAATAGCAGAATTGTTCCACTTAAAAGTGCGAAGTTGGACAGCTTTCATTTGATGATGTCTTAAAATTCAATTCAACCAAAACTAGCAAAGATGCATTTGTATTTTTGTCGTCACAGTTTGAAACTTGCATTTAATTATCCAAGACTATTACGAACGCAATTCATGTCCTCAGAAAAAAAACTGCAATTTTATTGTCATTGAAACTTGCAAGACTTGTTTAGAGAAAAGGCAAGTCCGCGAATTTTTATATCGCACATGTGAATTACCACGTTTTGCTCATCGTAAGAGATGGAAGATGTGATTGCTACCTTAAATATATTTTTCCACAAAAATATTAATCATGTGCTTGCCCTAAGAGGGTTTTTTAAGAAGTTGTGGATGAGCTCAGATTTAATTTTAAATGCCTTAAAAGTTATTCCGAATTTGACATTATTTTGTAACTTTAGGTTTATTTTGTTTTAAGTCGTCTGAAAAAATTTAAATTTAAATTGATCAAAATTGGGGATGTCCTCTTATTTCCTGAAAAGGGTCGGGTAACGCTAGCACGAAGTAAAATAAAACTAGTAATTTACAAGCTTAAACACTAAATTGTGGAAATAAAGTATTTTATTGATTGAATTTTACACTGTTGCTAAGCAAAATTGAAACTCTATAAAAGAAATAAAAAGAGCAATAATTGTGCATGTGGTTCAGCGCAGCTTAAGAAGTAATAAAGTTTTATTTAAATGTTTCATTAATAAAGCTTTCTTCACCTTTAATTTCAAATAGATTTGCATGCAAAATTCCGACTTGCTGAATCTTTGTTCATTTTTTGACGTCATTTTTCTTGCAGTTCAGCTTAATTTCCTTGATTTTTAATAATCATCGGTCAATTCATTATTACGGTAATTCAATGACAAATATCTTGTAAGTCATTCATAAAATAAAAGAAAAAGAAAGCAAATAAAATCCACGTTATGTGAGAAAAATTTCAAGCATTTCCTAAATGCTCGCAAACGGATTACTGTTTCTGGGTCGATAATGACCACGTAAAGTGCAAATAAAAAAAAAATTTGCACAAAACAGAGAGGAAAAATTGCATTGAAAGGTGTAGTGGTTACCATTGAAGTGATGGATGACGTTTATCACGTTTGGTTAGGCGTTTGGCTGACTAAGTCAATTACAATTTATTATGAAATTTAATAAAAAATTTCATTTGTTTTTGGATTTTTTGGAAATCTATTTTTTATTAAATTAAAGGTTGCAAATCAATTGTGCAGAAAACTTTGTTTCATTTTGTATCTATGATTTGACGCCACTATGCCCCCCCCCCCCATGCATCCATGACAGTTTTATGATTAACTTAAAGTCTGAAAAAATTTTGAATCTCCAAACTTCAAATAACTTAAAAATGTATTTAAATAACTTCAAGTCCAGCTTTAACTTACAAACTCATAATAACATAGTGGAATCCCATTTACGTTTTTGGAAATGTAAATTTTACGATATCGTAACTTAGTTCTTCTTGGTGTTTCCATTCACAAAAGTTTGAGTTTGAATGTTTCTCTCAGATGCTCATAAAACTGGTTTTTTAGGAGATTGAGGACATTCGTAAAATTAATACGTAATCAAATATTTCTGATTCTTAAAAGTATTAAAGCCGATGGTTATATTAAGAAAGGAAATCCCATTTCTAATATTTTCTGTCAATGATAAATAAGCATTTGTCTTAGAACCGCCAAATTTTTCATGACTTAATAAGATTTTTTTATTTGAGCTGTGCGAGAGGTTCATTGAAAAATCGCTACTAAAGTGGCATTATTGAGGATCAATTGAGACTTCTCTTGAGATTCAAAATTATTAATCATCTGTTACGTATGGACTGCTGTGACAGTCATGGATTTTTTTCAACACTCAATTCTTTAGAAAACACAAGTTGTTCTTTATAGGACTCTTAAAAAAACCACAGTTTTGCCTTTGATAGAATATTAGTGTCTAAATGAAGCTAGACTGTTGAAAGTAAATTATGATTATCACCAAAAAGCAGGACTTTGCACTAAAAAGT